TGCATCGTAAAATTTCGTCGAGTAGCACATTTATATTACGATCGTGTTTACTCGATATTGAGAGCCATAAACTCGTTCCAGATTTTTCGATCGCAGAACAAAAGTTAGATCACTACAACAACCGCAACTTGTAGACTAATGGTCGACATATTTCTTTTAAACATTGGTACTATGTAAAAATCATTTCGATTCGTTAATAGTCATCCTATATCCTATGAACTTACTGAATAAGGTTCTATTATATCGAATTCGAAAATTACTCACACATAGAGTTAAGATTAAATTGAAAGACTTTTCCTTGCTATGACTTTCCCTTATTTCCTCCTCACTAATATGTCTACAATAAGCAAAAAGTGTACACTTTCCTGTTCGGTGAGGTGAATACAAATTTGTTCTAAATGCGTAATTATTACAAATTTAACTCAAATTTAATCAAATTTAATTTTCATTTAACCAACTGCTGTCTTGTATTTCAAATTTTCCTGCACTATCTGCTGTAATTACACAGCAATTAGATCCTTTTCAATCTACAATGCGTGTTTTCAATGTACATACACCTACAAACATATGTTTATATATACATTTAACACACATGTATATATATATATATATATATATATAAATATATGTGTGTGCACATGTATATGTATACGTGTAAACCAACATATATATGTGCGTATTCATTTAATTTTTGGGTTCTCTAATTTCCTAGCCTGTAGTGCAGCTTTCTCTTTGCTGATGAATTCTGAACGCCTGGTAGAAAACTCCAACTAATTAACGGTTTTTGTGATATATTTAAGAAGAGCGCTCCCAAAATAAAAAAAAAAAAAAAAAACGAATAAATGACACTTGACATCAAGTAGAAACACACAAACATACACGCACATTCATCTACACGAAAGCACATATTAAGTTAATTAATTTCTCAAGAGGGCTCCCCAAAACCAACTAAACTGTAAAGAATGCCAGACAAAATAAAAGGTGAAACGATGTACATCCATACATACGCGAATACATTTTTCTATATACCATCTATATACATATTTAACTAATTTGCTAATAGAATTTATATTAACAGAGCTAAAAACATTTTTACACATTATTTACATTAAAACAAAGTATGGAACGAATCTCGGTCACCGATATAATGAAAGGCAGGTAGTTAGTAATAAATACCCAAGCGTCAGTATATGAATTGAATAGAGATGATAAGATTATAAATAAGCTGCACTTCTTTAGAGACCTAAAGTATGTTGCATTCCCTGGAAAAATAAAACTTTTTATTCTTCTCTAACTGACCGTTGGTTGATTGGAACCATTTCCGCTTAATTGCTATTCTTAAGCTAGATTTTGTTTATGACACTGCTTCAAAACATAAATTATTCCAATAACTTTTGAAATTTTTTTTTAGATATAATTGCATTCTCCTAACTAGGGGAAGGGGAATTATACCTCTTTTTATTATTACGGAGTTACAACGTTAGAAGTATACCAACTGAGTTCCTTTTTTTGAAAATTACATGCAAAAAGAAAGCTCTTTTAGCTTTTAAGCTTCCAATAAGTTTGTATTGCCTTTGTAATAATCTCAGCTTTTGGACCACAAATTGTTTCCCTGGACCACCCTGCTGATAAGTATGCGAAAATAAAGGTTTTAATCTTCATTTTTATCACCTTGTGACTATTGCAAAAACGAATGGACGGATAGACTCGCAAGCAATGTTAAATAGACTTTTTACGCACTGATGCGTATGCAGGTACAAAGCAAACGTTAGCCTTGATCAGTTTTAACAATGCCAACGAAAAATGGACAGAAGGACGGACGCACTCTATTATCGTCACTGATCGCTATACGGGCATAACATTTTCATTGTTGATTCTTACAACCTTGGCAATTGTAAAGAAGAATGGGTAGAAGGATGAACGGATAACATTAAATCAACTCTGTATGGCAAACATGTTAATACCATCCCTTGCAGCTAGCAGCATAATGGATACACCTTTTAGATCATTTTTGATCACAGAGATATATACAAAACAACGAACAAATAGAAATCAAACAGAATGAGATGATTCTCAGACTTATTGCTTGCTTCTTTTTTTTCTTTTCTTTTCTTTTCTATTTTCTATGTTACCAACGAAAAGACAAAAATAATATGCTTCTAATGTTTCAAGTAATGCGTGCGGTATGAATGTGTTAATGTGGTGTTTACAGACACTGCCCTGCACCCGTATTGCTTCGTTTCAGTCAGTAAAATGCTGTTTGCTGTAAAGCTAATTAAACACGGTGAGCAGAATGCGGTGGAGTACGTGATAATTGGTAGCACGTGTTTTATGACTGCGCCATTGTTGTTGTTGTTGTTGTTATACATAGCGGGGCATTGCAATTAAAACAGACTATCTTTAACTCTTGAGTGCCGAGATTTAATTTATATATATATATATATATATATATATACATATATAAATTGGTTTCTTTATTTCTTTTCTTCTTTCAAATTAGTATGAAGCTAATGACCTCGACCTAGGACTAATTCATTGAAGGTAAAACACCAGGCTCTCAGTTTTCATTTATCGTCATCTTAAGGTCTTTAAATACAAATAAAGCATTTTTGTCATTGTTTTTAAAATAAAATAAAATAAAAAACGAAAATATATTTTTTTAAGTAGCTCCTCAAAAACTTAAACACTACAGTATGATTGCTGCTATAGGCAGCTTAATTATATTTATGGTTGATGTCGATTATGTTACGTGTTACGACGTATGTAAAATGCTTTTGTAGTGCGGTTGTGCGGTTGTATTATCTTTAAATTCGTTCTTTTTATTATTATTATTTGTTTTTTTTTTTTTTTGTAAATGTTGTTATTTTGCTTTAAGGGCTAAGCTATAAAATTTAACTTGATAAACTTTACAATATAAATTTATATGAAATGCTTACAAGTTCTCATACATATATACATATACATATATATATAAATCAAGGCACGGACACGTGCGTCTCTTTAACTATTATTATTATTATTAATCAAACCGGCGAAAATGAACGCCTAGCGAACAAGTCGTTTTAGTTCCAGTTTGACGAGTGAGTACCAGTTTGTGTTAATCTGTTTTTCATACACATACATACGCGTACACATATAGATTTTGTATAATGAATAAGGCAACGATGAGTTCCATGCCAGTAGATTCGTTCTATAAATAAAACAAAACATGTGCACCAGATTAACACTAAAAAATAACATCCATTGGAAAATAATCCAATGTTTATATAACTAAAGGTCGTTCTAATCGCTTAGAAGCGAGCTCACTTTATGAACGACTTTACTATGTAGACAAGATTATTATTGCACATCTGCGGTGCCTGGTTCCTTAAACAAAGAAATTATTTCATTAGAAAGTTCAGCTCATCGTTACACTCACTATCCGCTCTTTCTCAATGCCTTACTCCGCCCTACACTGTATCTTTTCTTTCCTCATATTTAATTTATTTGTTTTTGTTTAGGTTTTTATTATTATTTATTTATTATTATTATTTTTTTTTTTTTTTTTTTTTTTTATAAGCAACGTTCATAAAAATTCAAGGCCCTTTTTCAAGTTTTCGACTTGTACTGATTTTATTATTTATTTTATTTATTTATTTATTTTTATTTTTTTTTTTTTACTACTATATTTCCGCCTTTATTGTCGTTGCAGTCAGTGTGTTTTTTTTTTTTTTTTTTCATTTTTATCGTGAAGAAGCGGTACACTTCCTTTTTCTGAAAGCCTGATAACAAATAGATCGTTATGATCACTAGATTAAATATTAAAAATATAGAACAATCACTATATAAAAAAAAACACAAAATGGGTTACTTTTCATCTCCAAACAAACATTAAATAGACGGCATCAACTTAAGCAAAGTGGGATCACTTATGCACAAAACGTTAAGGTGCTTTTAAACTTCAGGTTAATATCAGATTTCGATTGTACGTCATAACAATAACAAATAATATTTCTTAGGTGTTTTAAAAATAGTAAATGAGTTCTTAAACAAGTTATGTTTATATATTACGCCTTATCTATGAATGCAAACCTAGAACATTTATGCTAAACGCTAGCTATCATCCAGTGTTATAAAATTATTAGGGTGTTGCAAAACTTTTGGCCACTTTTTCACTTGAAATAGGCACTTTATTGAAAAAAAGTGGTACAAAATAGTTTTCATCATTTTTCACAATATCTTACAATATTTCTGGCAATATGGTTGGTACGGCAGCGATCCATTCATCGACTCTTTTCCGCGCTTTTTCAACTTTGCGGATTCGATTGCCAGCCACAAGCCAGGCAGCAACGATTCTGAACAAGTGGTAATCAGGAGGCACGATGTCTAATAAGGGCGCCGAGTATGGCGTAACTTCCCTTTCGAGCTATAACAGTTTACCCTGGACAACTTTTGCAACAAGCGGTCAAAAAATTCGTGTCAGTTTGAGCACTGAATGATTAGCGCCGGCGTATGGTAAATAAATTAATAATATTAAATGGAAAACTATTATCTTATGTAGAGAAAGGTTAAAATCATCGAATTCAACCCTTATGTACACTGGTATTTTCTATTTGTTTAACATTTTTACCTATAGGAGACACTGGCCCAAATTTTTACAACTCCCTAATACGTGTGATTAGATATTGTAAATAATGAGGCAAAGTTCAGTTCAGGCAAGTGTCAGGCGAGTACGCCTTAATCAATTTTCAGAACATTTTCGTTCCATCCAAAATAGACATTGCATCAATATATCTATTGACGGTGGGCTATTAAGCAATATTTATTTACTTACGGTTTTCAAAGACCTTTTAAAAATCTCATCTAAAATCGGTTTCAAATATATAATACCAATATATACATGAAATATCTGCTATCTATCTCAGTCCTTAATGATGACCTCAAGTTAGATAAAATCAAAATTTAGTTTAGCTTAAATAAGAAGAAAATTAAAAAATATATTTTCTTTTATATAATTTTAGGACATTTAGCAATGGTGCAAATGATGCCCATAATATTTTACCCGAACGACGTTCACGTCTTAATACCGCACTAGGTATACGTAGTGCAAATAGTAATCAACAACAACAACAACAGCAACAGATCACTACTTATGGTGGTGGTACGAAACGTCCGTATAACATCATCAACTCCACGATTTCGCACGTAACGGATGACAGCAGCACTGAAAGTTTAACGCCAGGAAGTTTGGCAAGCGGTGCTGGTGGTGGCAGTGGTTCATTTACAAATCGTGGTGGAAACAGTGGCAGCACAAGTGCTATTGCTAAAACAGTTCATATTAGCGATGCGAAAGACGTACGTTACATGAATGTTCATTCGCACAAAAAGCATCAATATAAAGAAGAACGTGTCGTATTGGTCTCACGCAAGGTGCCATTTTTCATATTTTCAGCTTTGCCATATTATAAAGGTAAAAATGGAAGGTAAGTTTGTGCAGTTTAGTATCATATTTGAAACATGAATATCAAAAAAAAATATATATATATATATATATCTATATAAAATTTTCAGATCCGAATTGCGTAAAGAAGGTCGTAGACGTAATACTTCATGTTCTCGGCCATTGTCAGCCATTAATGATGCACCTTTTGATCCATTCGATTTGTTGGGAATTGAAAGGGGCGAAAGCGGTCAGGTAAGTCAAAGAAATGAAATGTTTTTTATCGACATGTATTCATTATATCCTTTATCTCTCTCTCTCTCTCTCTCTATCTCTCTAACTGTTGTAGGATATTTCTTATGGACATTTATTAGTTCCGTCCCGTTATTTTGGTAAGGACGGTAAAAAGCATGGTTTAATTAGCTGCAACACGTCACTCATCGACAATCAAATTGAAGTTACCGGCACAACGGCTCTAAAAAATCACGGTATTGCAAGGTAAGGAGAAATTAAAATGAAATTCAATTTTTGGTTTGGCGGCAAACACTTGCATTTAAAAATTCCACCTAATCTGCTTTACAAATGCATTCATGCGCTTATATTAATTGCATTTACAACTCCATCTCTCTCCATTCATATCCTAAACAAAATATGTAAAAAATACGCCATTCATTAGATGTTCTCGGCTAAGTCCTCGATTGAAAGTTTGAAGATCTTTAACAAGTATGAATAACGTTTCTTGTTTCAGTTGAAGAAACGCGTTCTCGGTTGATTTTTTCTTGAGTCAAGATTCGACCTTCTATTCGTTTTCTGTCAAATTTACACAAAATTCCTGCCCATACGTCCGTTGAACTGTATTTTCAATAACTCGAATTTTTTACCGGTTATTTGGTTTGTTGTAACAGCATGCCAAAGACATCGAATACCTCGGTATGATGATCCAACAAATATCGAGCGTGTTAGAATAATGGCTAATTGATAAATTCAAGACATAGCTAATAGTCCCGGCTACAAAGTTTTTTTTCAATCCTTGCTCTTTTTATCCGCATTCTTCTAATTATTCAATTAGCTTACTTATCAGGATATATATTATAACGAATTTTAAGTGACACTAACGCGTAAAATTGCAGGACAGAATGACAATTTGGATAAAAAATTTTATTTATTTTTTTATTTATCTATATATCTTTGAAATTAGGAAAAATAGGAATAACTTTAGAAAATTAAAAAAAAAAAAAAATTTCTTCAGAACAGTAACCTTCACTAGGATAAACATGAAAATTCAATCAATATTAATAAATATTTAAATGTTGTTACATAATTTTATAAATTTTGAAAAGACGTGGCATCTAAAAAAAATCGAAGAAAAAAGAAAGCATGCTAGTAGTATGTTGTTATTTTCAAAAATTTTAAAACATTTTAAAATTTAGTATGATTTTTATACCCACCACTGTACGATGGGGATATACACATTTTGTTCTTTTCTATAATGTGTGTATGTAAAACCCAAAAGGAAGTTTCAGAGACCCTATAAAGTATATACATTGTTGATCACTGTGAAATTCTGAGTTGATTTAGCCATGTCTGTCTGTCTGTCTCTCTGTGTGGTGTGTGCTGTTGGCACTTTTTTCTCGCAAAAATGAAAATATCGACTTCAAATTTGGTAGAAACATTGAAAGATTCTGCACGCGGGTTGTTATGGAAAATGGGCCAAATTAATCAGAAGGGTGCAGTCGACCGTAAACTAAACGCAACTCATTTTTTTTTAAAAAACATTTTTGGATTTTTGCTCGTTACTCGGAAATTATTAAAACTAGAAGGCTGAAATTTACTTTACAAAAGGCTCCACTCTTTAGGTCCAAATTTGAAACCAATCGGCTATGTTCACGCAAAGTTACGAGCAATTAAATTTTATTTTTTTCGCTTTTTTGAAGTTTTATGCTAATTTATCATCAGGCAAACAAGACAGAATGTTCAAAACTATTTTGTAGGCTCCTCAAATCAATATATATTATCTGCCTAAAAATGGGTTAATTTTAAAATGGATGTGACAGAAACCGTGATTATTTTTTTCTTGATAGTACCAGTGATATGGGTATCAAATAAAAGAACATGGAGAGTAGAATGTGAAAAACATTGTGGAGGATATGCGAGCTTCGATCCCCGTCGAATATAACTTTATTACTTGTTAGATAGTATTTTTGAGCAGAATTGCTGAATGAAAACTAGAAATTTTTTATTTTAAAAGATTTACTAGAAAAATTTCAAAAATTAATAAAAAATTTAGTTTATTCTCAAAAATTTGTTCACAAATTCACCACAATTCTATCTAAAAATATTTAAAAAAAAAGTTTTACCATTGGCTTAGTCCATTCAAACTCTATATTCCCGTAAAAAAAAGATTGATCATGGAATAGCCTTCACTTCTCTCAATATGACGACTTCGCAAAATGAGGCGTTGTATGAGCAACAGTCGAAAAAGCTATTTACCTAAATATGTCAATAATTACTTGAACAAGTTTTGATCGGTTCAGAAAGTAATTCTTAGTTGAAAGATATGATCTTGTGAGTGTTACACATGTCCGGACAAACTCAGTATATTCTTGTACCGCAAGTGGTGCAAGATGTAAAAGGACTTTATTTTCCAAAACCGTTTTTCGGATTATTTTGCTGAAACTCATCGATTATGCTAAACTTGTTAAACGTAAAAAGCATTTAGTAGGTAAATCACATGAAATATTGCTTTTTCATTATTGAGCCTTTGAGGTCAAAGTTAACTGTAAACTTAGATTTTTTGACATTTCCAAAATTGCTTTTCTTTACTCAAAATTGACAATTAATACTAGAAAAAAAATAATTGCAGTAAGTTAGTGATGTGAAAATTAACTCTTTCCGTTTTTATAACAAATCCTATTACGATGAGCCTCATACGCCCAGAGGTCAAAGAGAAATTCTGTTTTTTGCGACAGGAAGGACCCAATCGATCCAAAATTTGGGATAGAGATGCAATGAGGAAATGTGCATACCGTCTCAGAACCACTGCCAGCCTCAAGTATACATTTAATAATTTCGTTACTAGCCATAAATTGACCCAAAGGTTATGCAGAACTGCAATGTCTATATAATATATGTCCAAAAAATTCAATTACAGCGTTTAGGGCCTTGGACTTACAAAGGACACATGAACCAAGAACATCTCTACTTTCTTGATTTTTGGTTGTTGCTTGCAAACTAATTGTAGACACGCAATACAACTTTTCACACACTCTCTACAAAACTCGAAATAATCAGTCATACCCCTTCAATATGATAGAAGCTGATAGATTTTAGTCGTATAGATAGATATAAGTATATGTGGAAATAAAAGTATCGGTCACAGTCGAACATAGTTTTCTTATTTGTCTTATTTTTGAAGATTTTTTTTTATTTTTCCATAACGCGAAAAAATGTCTGTCTATGACTTCGATATATTCTTTTATGATTATATATAGCTTATTAAAAAAAAAAATAAATGAATGAAAGCAATTATAAACAACACCCTATCCAACATATAAGCCCCATGTCAGCCTGTGTGCGTGTGAGGCTCATGGTGATATGATTTATTATAAGGATACGTGGTTCGACTAGGATTAGAAATAGTCTACTGCCTGCTTTATACTATGAACACTACTTCGAATACTGATTTCGTACACTTTGAGAAATGTGATCAAAAAATTCATGAGAAATCCTTGTATAAAATTATTAAACATAATTTAAAATGTTAAATAAATTGATTGCTTCAAAAAAACTTTGTCAGTATTTTTTGTGATATCACATATCAATTGAATTTATTTCGTTTGCAAATTGTAATGAATCACACACACGGGTTACTTACAATTTAAACAAAAACTACGGAAATTAATTTAATTAAAAAGTGTGTAATAAATTAAATAAACAAAGACTGCATTTAACTGCAAATTTCTAGAGTAACAAATAGAAATACTACAGTGGGCCAAAGGCCAACATTAAATACACCAACTACACTAACTGCAAATATTCATAAAATAGTCAAAATTAGGCGTAATATGGGAAGTCCGATCGGAACCATTTGCAATAGCGTTCGTCCTTGGGCCGAAACATGTCGGTGAAGCAAATTTCATTTAAATAAGGAATAAAAAACGGACAGACCGACAGACAAGCTTGGATCTATGCAGAACGTGATTCTAAAGCGATCGATATAATAAAAGGTTAAAAGGCCACATAAACTTAATATATTCATCATATCACAAGTGGTATAGGGTATAAATAGTTTCATTTAGAAACAGTAGTAGTAGTGACGTAATTGTAGCTATTTATTAAATTCAATCTCAGAGTAATTTGGATTATTTCGCTTTTATTTTTTCTTTGGTTCTTATTTCAACCTCGAAAACCTGTTGTTAATTGACTTTGGAACAAATCTGGAGCCGCTTTCTACCTTGAATTCATATTGTAACTCGAAATCCATCCATCTTTCATTGTAAAATTAAAAGCATAGTAGACTTTTTGTTTCAATATTTCGCTTCCGCTTCGATTATTTTCGCGTGATAAATATGAATAAAAATATATTAAGACCTGCCAAAAAATTGTTTGCAATTTTTTTTTTAAACCTGATTGAAGAATGTTTAAGAGAAGGTTAACTATCGGTAGTTGCATGCAAATCTTTCTTCGAAGGGTATAAAGCAAATTTAAATTAATGAAATAAAATCAAGCAATAGTTTTACAGGATTATCAAGAGATTTAGTAATCAGAAAGTATTTTATGGCCACTGCTGAAGAAAGAGGAAGAATTCTTCCCCTAATGACAATCCTATCGAGTGCCTACACATATATGTATATTTATTGTTGGCACTTGTCCTTACGCTTAAGAAGATTGTCATTGGAAGACACCTATGAAAGTTTCGCATACAATGCGTATTTGCTGATCAACGGCTAAAGGTCGACCTTGAAATTGATGCCGGTTCACTGGTATAGTCCCTAATATTTTTCTGGGGATTTTTCCCCTTAAAAGTGATGATGAAGTCAATAATCAGCTTAGAGATGCCACTCTTCCAATTAAAAAAATGATTTGCAATTTTTGCATAAAAATCTTAAGAGCGAGAGTGATCGCTTTCGAACGAATCGCTTTCGTCAAAGCGATCTTCTAACCCTCTTACTATCCATGCGAGAAATTGAAAACCCTTCTAAGATCGAGATCAACAAATTGCTCTAAATAAACGATTTGTCACATAAAGTTGAAAAAAGACGGGAAGAGCAACGTAAAGAGTTTTTATCTTAACCCAATCAAATCGCTAATCAAATGTATAGTAAATAGTTCCAATACCTTTCCGAATGGAATTAAAGTTTTTAAATAAAATATTAGATAAAAGTTATTTGAATGAATTTTTCAAATTTAATGTATGATGGATGATGCATAAGTCAATTTAAAGAAAATTATTATTATTATTATTTATTTTTTTTTTTTTATTAGATAATTGAATGTAATGACTTGTTAATGAATCGAGTTTAAATCAAATATAATGCAAACATTCACATTCAATGGCTTATTGTATGTGTATAAGCGCGCTAACGTGAATATATTTGATTTCATTTCTTTCATTTTCATTTCATTTATTTCCAGCACAAAAGTCATGACGAGGCAAAAAGGCAAATGGTAAATTAACATTTACTAAACTAATGCTTATATTGTTATATTTTGATAATTCATTAAAGAAAACTAACATTTGTAGATAAATTAATTAAATGTAGAATTAATCTGAATAGTAGCGTGCACTAACGTCCAACTCATTTGTACAAAAAAAAAATAAAAAAATAAAAAATAAAAATAAAAAAAAAATAAAACAGAAGCAACGTTTATATCACTCTTTACTCTTATGTTTAACTTAAGCTATTTAGAAAATGTTTGTATATATATGTATGTATGTTTATTTAGAAAATGTCTGACATCTTTCAGGTGTTTCACTTATGATAATAATAATCGTAATAACGCGGCCAGTCCCGTTCCGGCAGATATAAAATTAGACTATGATGAATCTCTCGACGGTAGTCGAAGTTTGCAGGTAATATTCTTTTTTATTCCGAAATTTTATTCCGAAATTTTTGATTTTTAATTTTCATTTCATTTTATTTAGTTTCAAGCATATTCTGCTAACATTTTGGACGATCCGGAATTAATAGCTGGCAAACATCGTACTCTGTTAACTTTTACATCATATATGACATCGGTGATCGATTATGTTAGACCTTCGGATTTAAAAAAGGAACTGAATGATAAATTTAAAGAGAAATTTCCTCACATACAATTGACGTTAAGCAAACTGCGAAGGTAAGGCAGAGAGAAATTTGAAAAAACTTATTAATTAATTATTAATGATTTTGGTTTTTTTTTTTTTTTTTCTCTGTCTAATTAAAGTATTAAACGTGAAATGCGTCGCATCAACAAATTGGATAGTCGCATCGATTTAGTTACTATATCACAAGCGTACGTTTATTTCGAGAAACTCATTTTAGCCAACTTAATTAACAAATTCAATCGGAAATTGTGTGCTGGAGCTTGTCTTTTATTAAGCGCCAAAATGAATGATGTTAAGGGAGATCTTCTGAAAAGTCTTATTGAAGTAAGTTCCTTTATTATGTTGAATGTAAAATTACATCGTTACCTATACGTACAAATACGACACACACATCTCCCCCTAGCGACAACTCAAGTTATTTTATTCATTCTCAGTTAGAGCAATAAATGACATCAGTCATGTTGGCCTTTTTCTTTTGTATCTGACAATTGCTAGAAATTACATGATCGGAAAAATTTAAATGCACGCTTGTTTTTGTAATCGCAATGTTCCCTTCGCCTTTTAATTTTAGATTGTGACAATCGTCTTGATTCTTGCTGGCGTTCCAATTTATTCAGCTTATTAAAGATTTTAAGAATAACAAGTGCAAACGTTACCTTAGCCCATGGCCTGCTCTTAAATACCCTACATCACTTCGGGTAATATACGTTATTCAAATACTTTTCAACATAAGATGTCGTGTAGTCGAATTTTCTCGAAAAAGTGGTCCGATCTGGCCTATGTTTAATAGCTTTCGCTCTTGAACCAAAACATTTCGGTATAGCAAATTTTATCAAAATATTTAAAAAATTGCCATCTGTTTGTCGAATAAAAGTAAACAAGACGGATAGGCGAACAGACAAATTATGCTGAGAGTAACTTTCTGAATCGACCGAAACAATTTATCGATCACTATCAGGAAGTGTCAAGTTTTTCTAGATGTTATATACATAACTCACAAACTAAATATTCGCCTGTACAAGAAGTGGTGTAGGGCGTCAAAGTGCTATTATAGAATTATGCTGACTTTATCAACAAAAATATCTTGCGTTATAGAATAAACGGATTCACTTCACGAACACTTAAAACATATATAAAGAAATAATTGTTTCTCTCTTTAGAGACGACATGTACGGAATTAGGCGAATATCCTGAGTCATTATTGGCCAGGAAACGTACATTTTGGGCCGTTCTCGGAGATGGCGCAGCTTGGGGTCATATGACCTGAACCTGCTTAACGTCGGCTCTATAAGTGAACTCTTAAGTATTAACCCTAACGCCCTCTCCATGAATAGGCTCTAAACTATATGGCGTAAGATAGTGACTTTCATAACAAAATTATTTTCAGCAGTGACGACAATTTTTAATAACTTTTTTTCAATAACTTGCTTAATAGGGGAAATTTGTTCATTTGCTTAAATAGTCAATCCAAACTCTCATATAATAAATGATTATATCCGCAATATTAAGCTACAATTTCCTTCCAGTTGCGTGACTCCCACTACTGCATCCAAGCCGATCACATCTGAACATGTTTCAGAGGTCTTTCATCCAGGCGCGACATCCTTTACCACTTTCAAAATTATCAGGTAGCTTAAAGAGTAATTGTAACCGCTTTCTTATGATCCTCGCAAATTCGATTTTTCGAATGAAATGATCACTTGAAACTTTAGTTGCAATTTCTCTCAAAACCATGATTTTCAAGCTAGCCATTCTCAACCGATTGATTTCAAATTTCAAGTGCAGTTTCGCAGCAAGATTTTTTTTAATTTTGTTTTATTTTGATAAATTGTTTTCAAACAATAAACAACCCTACGTTGTTTCGCCAATCGTTTGAGAATCGAAGTACACAAATGATTGGACGAAAAAGGTAAAAAAAAATGTTTCCTTTTCTGTGATCTGATGCACCAATATTTTGCTTTCAAACAATTACTGCAACAATTGTTTAAGTATCTTAACAAATGCAACAAAATTTGTCTAAAAACTTTTTCTCAATTTACACAATTTCTTGCTCATAAGATACCAAACCGGAAATTTGTGCGTAGAAGGTCCACGATTACTGCATGAAAATTATTGTAGTCGAAGTATTGACCTTGCTAATTGCATATTTTTTTCATCTGGGTGACAATTTGTGCCACGCTTTCAAAAATCTTCCCCTTTTGCCGCAGATCGCTTAGCGTGTCAATTTTTTCACATATTCGGATGAGCCAATGCCTTGCTTAACAAGTACATGACTCATCAATTATCAGAAGAATTCAAGCCCGGGAATAAGCTGCTATTCCGTGGTTGAGTGCTTCCAGCATATCCCACACCTGTTTGCTGTATGTGGAAAAGTGCCCTGATATAGCTCTTGTTTTGATAATTTGGCTGTTTTTTTAAAAAATCGAACCACGCAAGACGCTTAATTGTTGCTTGGAGTACGTGAGACGAACACTTTCACTGCGTTTTGACAGACCATCTCCTTTTGCACTCACCAAACACAGAATATCGTTTTCTTGCGCCATAACGACTCGGTCCTACGGTAGATCTGGAAGGGACGGCCATCTTTACCTAAGAATTTCTACGTTTAAGATTTTCACAATAAATCCTCGGTTCAACCCGAGTAACTGTACGATGAAAAAAGGACATCGGTTGTATCGTTCCGGAATATAATAGAGCCGCCGTCAAATAGTCAAAATTTGACATGTTCAACGCCATTACAATCTGTGCTACTGCATGAATCTTGTGTTGTTACGATTTGAAAGTATGTGCCAGATGTCGACGCGATTTGACAATTAGTGCGATCTATAGGCAACTTTCGGTTTCAGATTAACATATTTGGTTTTCATCTGAGTGCAAGATTTAGAGACTTTGCCACCAACTCCTTAAAGTCACAAAAATTAAAACAAAAAAAAGAATTCTAAAAAAGAAAGAAGTGCAAGATTTTGTAACTTCCAAGACTGATCGGCTATAGTTGTAGCAACTCAAAAAGGTGCAGCTCTAAAATTAGGTTCCTCGAAAAACTAACTGACTAACAAAAAAAAATAACTGGCGCTTATTGCAACATTATAGACGGTCCTCTCAAATAATTTAAATAATAATAATAATTTTAAAAAAAAATTTTTTATTTATTTTTTATTTTAGAAAACCGAAAACGTATTTCGTTTAAATCGCAAAGAATTAATAGCCTCTGAGTTTGCGGTATTAGTGGCTTTGGAATTTAGTTTACATGTTCCTATGCATGAAATTCTACCCCATTATCAACGTTTACTCTACGAATCCTAGGATTGGCCTAAACGCTTGATTGACAAGCGTTTTCTAACCACCGCGGCCAGTACATCTAAATATTATTTAAGGCGTTGTGCTAGTAATAAAAAATAAAGTTTGTCTTTTAAAGGAAAAGTAAAAATGTAAAAGCAATAAAAAAAAAATTAAATGATTTTTTCACACAATAAAAGCAATGGTTTTGGGTGAGAAAAAAGTTCATATAATAACATAATAAAAAATTGGTAACGAAACAATTTTTAATATGAATGAAATTCACACACAAAAAGCACAAACAGCAGCATAATAATAACATAGTAGTCATTTATAAACTATTATTTAACGATTAAGCGATTTCAATAACATAAAATATAAACTAAATGAAAAATTTTTTAAACGAATCTAAAAAATTAATTGATAAACTTTTAAACAGAAATCAAAACTTTTTTTTCTCACTTTATTGCAATATTTAAGAAATTCGAAATAAAAATAAGAAAAAATTATTGAATACAATTCAACTTAAATTATTATTAAATAAAACAAAAAAAAAAAAATAAATAAATAAATATATATTAAGAAATAAATTAAAAATTTATTCGATATAATTTAAGCCGACCCCGCAAAAAACCTGTACATTAAAGAATTTAAAATTTTTGAAAAATTTCTAAAACCAGCCATAAGCTCTTTATTGCATGCAAAAAATTTTTATCATTGTAGGACATTGTAGAAAATAAAGATCGCTCGACATAAATTTAACACATTTCAAGCATTTGTTTTAGACAAAAACTGCGAATTTTTATGCTTAATCGTATAAAATCATATACAAATCAGTATTGGTTTCCATATATATGTACTTATTATGTAGATCTTTATAAAGGCATAGACTAAATTTTTAACAACAAAAAAACCCTTAAGCGAATCTAAAATGCTACTAAAAGACTTGGAATTATTTACACATCTGACAAATCTTTTGTTTTAAATTATTCTAGCGCTTAAAGAAATAAACTCGTGTCGAATTAAAACCAAAAAAAAAAAAAAAACGCAAAAAAAAAAATTGTTTTATAAATTTATTTTTTCTAAAAATATAAAAAGTATGAAGTATACGTGAAAATTTTCCTTTCATTACTTAGTTTAGAAATATCGTAAATAGATCGTGTAAGAGAGTTTAAAGAGTTCGTTTTTTTTTTTTTTTATTATAATTATAAGATTTCTTAAAGAATTTAATCTAGCATAGCGTTAAATATGCATCATATTATTAATCAATAAATATAAATGTGAAATATGAAGACCGTAAAAAGTGTTCTTTAATTGTAACACACACACAATGATAGGAAATTAATTTTAAGATTAAAATCTTTTATAGAGATCGAAGGGAAGGAGTAAAAAACAAAAAGTTTCTTTCTTACCATTGCATTAATTTTTTTTATACCTCCCATGGGAGAATCACATTATATCAGGTGTTTAGAAAAATTTTGATCACTTTTTCACTAAAAAAACGCATTTTTAATGTCAAAAATTGGTGCACTGTATATATATGTTTCCATCTTTTTCTACAACATTTTACAATATTTTTGACAAAATGGCGATATCATGCCAAAAAACCTTATATTACTTTCGCAGCGATCCACGCACTTATTTCGCGAGCCATTCTCGCACTTCTTCAACTTTGCGGACTTTGTGGTAAAACTTTCCAATTC